TTCCTGCAGCCCTCAGTTGTATTCATATAAAATTGAGAATTTTATAAGATTCACCTCATAGGATGATTATAAAGACTAAATGAAGCAATGCACATTAAGACTATAACACAATGTGAATGTTAAATTAAACAATTCACTAAAGCTCCCACTACACTTGTGGACACAGTACCTCATCACAGGCACTTAGTAAGAGAAGCAGTAGCTGATGTTAACGTTATATTAATATCATTAGTAGTACTAACATCATGTGATGGTTAAGATTGTGTATCATTTTGCTTCTCTAGAGAACCCAGCCTAAGACATATCATAATTGAAATTCTCTGAAAAATTGAAAATCCTTTGAAATCTCCTCAAACACCATCTAGCCATCATATCTCTCCATTAACACCTTACTTACCCTCACTAACACATTTCAATTTTATTCAGCTATTCCTTACATGATTGCGTTCAATAAACAGCACCACTCTGCATCAGGAGCAGAGGGGGAGCTCAGGTGCTGGGGAAGAGCAATTCAGGGCTGCAGGGGGCAGGCTAGGAGAGCAACAGTGTGCTGGCTGGTCCCTTTCATAATGATTTTTACAGGAAATAGAGATAAACTTGGCAAAGGAAAATATAGCCCTGTTCCTAAAAGCCACAGAATAGAAGCTGTAGATGCCATACGTAACATATAGTTGGTTGAAAAAGAATTAAGTCATTCTTTATGTTTCCTTTGCAGATACCATTTATCCCCCAAAACAGTGCCTAATACATTAGACATTCTGTATACACTGGTTAATGAGTGAATGAAGTTCAAGGGGCTGGATGGAGCAGTTGAGTCATAAAACACACAAAGCGGCAGTCCTACAACACAGCCTAGGGGTCCCTCCAAGTCTGCATCTCCATTTACTTAGAAAACTAGCAAAATCCCCTACTCTATAAACTTGCAGCTTTGCTCAGCAACTGTTTTGCCTGAATGTATCAGTTATAATTTTCCAGTTGAAATGCTTGAGCCTCACCAAACTCACTTATCTTTAAAGGAGAGAATTAAGTCCTCAACTATGGAAAGGTCAGGAGCATCATGACCAGACTTAGCCTACCTTAGTGTTGCTGTATCCCCAATTGCAGAGGAAAATACACATAAAACTAAGACACACAGAAATATGAATAAAATATGTTAAAAATTTAATTAATGTATTTTAAAAAAGGCTAGGATTCCAGGAAACCTAAAGTCAGAATAATATAAGAGATCAAACAAGAATCAGATTATTTGCTCCTTATTTTGTATGTTTATAAAGGCTTGAAGAGATATGATAAAAAGCCACATTCCAGTCAGAGAGAGAAATACAAGGCATGGAGATCTCATACCTTTTTTGCTCTAATACACAGTAAGTTTGAACGAAACAGGCCAAGTGAAGTGATCAGCTGCTTTCTCCCTCCCAAGGCGAGGCTGCCCTGGTTTAAATTCAGGGAAAAACCTAGGAAAGTTACATCATCGGCTTCTTCACATTAGGGAATTGAGATGAGCTACTGTTGTTAAATCCTTTGGCTCTGTTGAATAAGCATAAAAGTAACAGCATTGCAGAAGTCAGAGGGAATTTTCAACTTTCTTTATTATTCATATTCCCCATGCTAGGTATTGACTCTTCCTTGGAGCTTCTACTTTCTTTAAAGTCCTCTCAGAATCTATAGTTTTGTTTAGTTTTTCCATTTGTTTTTGCCAGTTACACTATAACTTCCCACTCAAGGTAACCATAGGAATTAAACATGTTTGTCATTTAGGGTATACATCTGTCAAAAAGTAAAACTCACCTTTATCATGAAGAATTGTAATTTTTTTAAGTTTCATTTTTCCACTTTGCAAAGCATATTTTTACATTAGATATTTTCAAGGATACTTTCACTGGTCTTTAAAAAAAATCTGAATCTCAGAAAGGCAGAATCATGCAGAACATCAGTACTATAAGGAGATATTAAATACCAAGCTGATTTGAAATCCTGTGCTCTTCCACTCACACAGTCTGTAACTGAACATTGTTATGTGTGTGTGTCATCTAATGATGGCTATAGGAACTTTATATTATTATCAACTGTATTAACTCTTGATGGGATTATATCTGCAATTCACTTCCCTTCTCCATGCCAACTGGAAGATTTAAAAGCACGTGGTAGGTTTATGTGAGAAATGTATTTATTGTATCATTGTTTCCTAAGTATTTTCCTCCCCATGGCTGCTAAACTCAAAGAAATCTGGATTTGAAATGGTATCAACAAGTCTTAGCTTTCTGACCCTGTTCACTTTCCTATTTCCATTGGAATGCTCAGCCTAATGTAGTTGAGACTGGATGGAGGAGGCCAGGAGCCAGGAAATAAGACATTATAATTTAATCTTAGTCAAGCCACTAAAACCTGAGTGTCAGCTTCTCAGAATTAAGCAAAAGTGTTATGTACTTCTACACTTCAGTGGCTCTCAAGACAAGGAGGGGGCATCCTCCATCGTTTGCCCCTAACCTCAAAGGCTCAGAAAAGTCCCTTGAAGATTAGTCTCATCAAACGCTGAGTAAGGCTTCTATCACTTTGTACAAGTGGATCCTGACACCAGGAATCAGAATCAGCGCCTCCTCTCCTTCATGGGAGCCCACCCTCCCGTCCAGTTTATTTCTCACCAAAGTCTCAGGCTGCCTTCAACCAGGACACCTTCATATTTCCTGTTATAGCTTCTCTCATGCTGCATCCTTGCTCTACATTCACTCCTTCCATTTCTGTCTAGATTCTAATATTCCATACATGCCCAGCTTAAACGACACCTTCTGCATGAAGCCTTTCTCTACAAGCCAGTCACTGAGATATCTCACACCTCTGGAAGATCACAGGAGTTTGTTTTGACTCCTCTCAGAGATTTTGCATTTTGTATTCTTGTACTTATATATTTTTTAAATTTCAACAAAATATTCAAAAGTAATGATATAGTTTAATGTAAAATACAAACACTATATTAAAAAGAAGAGTCTCTGAATTCTGAGAAGCCACAGGAGAAGAAGCACTTTCCAGGATACATGGCAGGTGTAGCTGCAGGGTAGATCTGGAGAGATCTGGAGCCAGATGTGGAAGAACATAGCCACTGACAGTCTCAGCTGTCAGGGACAGTGCTGATGGAATCGGTGCCCAGACCCGTCTCCTCCTATCCTCCAAATCTCCCACTGAGGTCTCTTTTTGGGCAAACCATCCAGAAGGCAAAGGGCCATGTAGGCATTTCATGATCACATAGCAGACATGGAAAGACAAATAGATATCTAGGGGGAAGTCACAGACTCCAGGCACAGTGGAAAAATGAGAAATTGCTCATCTTTCCTCATTGATGGTGGGGCTAAATTGGTCTAGACTTCTATATTATATCATGCAAATTAGTACTTTGCATCAAAATTTTGTAAATGTTAATCATTTTAACCAGTAAGTCCCTTCTTGGAATCTGTCTTACAAAAATAATTATACATGTAAAGAAAGATACATGTACAAGACACTCTGTTTTGAATAATTATTTTCAAGATTCAGCAATAGCCCCATACATCCACTAATAGACTATTTTAAAATTGATGACATATCCATCCTGTAGAATATAACCCATTTTCCATTTTCTGAAGTAGAAAGATAATCAAGATTCATTACTAAGTTAAAAATAAGCATGTTTTATGTCAATACTTTATTTTCCGATTAAAAAAGCAGTTTGAATTATACAATTCTCAGGTCTTCCTAGCAATAATGTTAAGTTTTATATATTTCCTGGACTCAGTGTCAGGCACAGAAAACATGTGTTTACAAAATAATAATCAAACAAAAGGCAAACAGAACCGTATTAATTGTGCATTTCAATACATTTAATTTTGTATATTAAGTCTCATTTCCTGATCAATCCCTAGGAAATGGTTTCCTTCATTCTGTTTCTTCAAACTGTGTCCTTGGAACACCCTTAAGAAAACAGAACATTTGTGAAAAATGATGCTAGCTTATGTACTTAATCACATGTTGATTTTTTCTTTATAAATTTGGTGATGAATTCCAATCGAAGTTCTTTATGAGCTATACTCTGTGCATGATGAGCAAAGCAATTTATATACTTTACTGCACCTATCTGCATATCCAACTATACCTACAGTTCAAATTCCTTGGGGACAGCAGCCACGTATTGTTTAGATTTTAATCTCATTTGCCTATAATTTTGGATTATAATGTAGCATAAAAAATATTTGTTGAATAATTGGAAGACTGAATATTTGATGTCCTACCTCTCCTTCTTTGTCTAACAAATCACATATTTCAAAACTCAGCTCAGATGTCACCTTGCAGGGAACCTTCCCTAAATCATCCTTCCACTCTGGGTTAATGTGTTTCCCATTGTACCTTATGAAGTCCTGGATTCTAAATCTATCATACAATACTAATATCCACTAGGTGTCTTTAGAGCTGCGACATGGAACAAAGCGTCTCTCAGTAAAAGTGTGCAGATATAGTCAGTATATTCAGTAATGAATATATTCAGTGATGAATAGTTATGTTGAAGTGAACTCGTTTTCTAAGGTATCTTGTCACGCTGCCACTAGAGAGTAGGAACTCAAAAAAAGGGGGGGGGGCAACAAGGACTGATATTTAACTCTTGGAATTAATTTCAAATGTACAGGAAAGCAGCATGAATAAGAATAGGGCAAAGAATACCTATAGGCCCCTTACCTAGATTCACCTGTCGTTAATATTTTCCTCCATTTGCTTCACCATTTCCCTCCCTCTCTCTTTCTCATTTGAGAGTCCATTTGGCTTTTAATTCTAAATATTTTCATTATGCATTTCCTAAGAATATGAATATTCTTCTACAGAATAATAGGGCAATAGAGGCAACTACTTTAAAAAAAAAAAAGGATGGAAATGATATGAGACACTGTGATATGAGAACCTGAGGAATAAGTTGGTATAAGATCCTAAAATTTTGACATGTAGAGAGAAGGAAAAGAAAATGTTACTACCAAAATTTCCTACTTTATATTTTCTTGAAAGGCAGGTTCCACATTCAACATTTTCTTCAGAGCCCCTGTGACATCTTTATTTCTAAGACTATAGATTAAAGGGTTTAGTACAGGAGTGAGGATACTGTAAAGGAAAGATACTACCATGTCCTTCTCCGGGGTATGGTAGGAGCTGGGCATCATGTACGTGTAGATGGCAGCCCCGTAGAAGAGGATGACCACAGTCATGTGGGAGGAACAGGTGGTGAAGGCCTTCTTCCGGCCCTCTGCTGAGTTCATCCTGTGGATGGTGAGGAGGATGAAAGAGTAGGAGCTTGAAATGACTGTCACAGGGGTGAGGAGCATGAGGACACAACACAAGTATATGAGTGTCTCAATGAGTGAGGTGTCAGAGCAGGAGAGCTTCATTACAGCAGGCACCTCACAAAAGAAGTGATGGATCTTCCTGGACCTGCAGAAGGGGAAGGTCATGGTGATGGGAGTGAGCATGAAGCCATCCACTGAGCCCAAGAACCAGCAGCCGGATGCCAGGAGGAGACATACCCTGTGGTTCATAAGGACGGGGTAATGGAGCGGATGGCAGATGGCCATGTATCGATCACAGGCCATGGCAGCTAGAAGGAAAAATTCTGATCCTACTAGTGTCAAGTAGAGGAACATCTGTATCCCACATCCAGGAACTGAAATACTTTTGGCACCCATGACCTGGTCCATGACCATCTTTGGCACAGTGACAGAAATGTACATCATGTCCATGAGAGACAACTGGCTGACGAAAAAGTACATGGGAGTGTGGAGGTGGGCATTAGAGTGTACCAGGAGGATCAGGATGGCGTTTCCAGTCAGAGCCATCAGGAAAATCACAAAAATGGCCACACAGAGCAGAGCTGGGTGTTTGGATTGACTGAAGAGTCCCAACAGGAAGAAATCGGCCCCTCCAGTGTGGTTGGACAGCCACATGGTGTTGTCCATGAGGTTGCACCTGGGGCATCAAGGAGAGCTTTGATGTTACACAGATCACTCATGAGGATGTGACCTTCCAAAATGCATGTTCAGTGCATGTGTGTGTGCATAAGCATAAGTGCACACACATGTGAACACAATTTTACTAATAGAAGAAAGTTCCATAGATTGTAGAACTTTTGTGTTGATTCGGGGATTATAAATCACTTGTAATTCAACAAATTTACCAGAAAAAAATAAATGAATTCGCAACTGTGGGTTGAAAGAATTGGTAACTTATACTGAAGTTGCCAGAGTTCACGGTAATGAAGTTTCCTGATGAAGGTGTCCTCTATCAACATGTAGTAGTAACTTAAAAAATCACTGCCCCATGCAACACAAAGAGTGAAAAAGAGAAATTGGGGAAAATACAAAGAGAGAGAGACAGAGAAAGAGAAAAAAATCAAATTTCTTATTTCTAAAGTGTTTGTTAAGGTAGACAGAATTGAATAAACCTCTCTGGTTTAAGGAACCACTGGGATCTTAAAACTATCACGGCATGGCTTACCCCTCTGAGAACCCAAGGGGTAGTGGGTGAGGGGCACAAACTCTGCAACCAGACTACTGCCCTTGTTCTAGCTTCCCCTCTACCTCCACTGTTAGTTACTGAACTCTCCATTCCTAGATCCATTCTGTATAAAAAGAGGATAAGAATAAAGTTCGACCCTAATGTATGGTGAAAATTGTTGTTGTTAGGTACCATCAAGTTGGATCCAACTCATAGTAACCCTATGTACAAAAGATCTAAACGCTGCCCTCTCCTGCGTCATCCTCACAACCGTTGCTATGTTTGAAACCATTGTTGCAGCCACTGTGTTAATCCATCTCATTGAGGGTCTTCCTCTTTTACACTGACCCTTTACTTTACCAAGCATGATGTTGTTCTCCAGGGACTGGTCCCTCCTGATAACATGTCCAAAGTACGTGAGACAAAGTCTCACCATCCTCCCTTCTTTAGGAACATTCTGGCTTTACTTCTTCCAAGACAGATTTGTTTGTTTCCTAGCAGTCCATGGTATATTCAATATTCTTTCCAAAACTGTAAGTCAAAGGCATCAGTCTCTACATAAGCACAATTAACTTTTCTGGAATTCCCATTCTTTGCAAATGCTATCCATAATTTATTATGATCCAGATAGTTGAATTCCTTTGCATAGTCAATAAAACACAGGTAAGCATCTTTCTGGAATTCTCTGTTTTCAGCCAAGATTCATATGACATCAGCAATAACATGGTGAGCATTAGATTAGGTAAAATAATGACAATACTTAGAACATTACCTTGCACAGATGAATTAAACATGTAAACTGTTAGTTCAGAGCATTAATATCCAAGCATATTATTGTGCAGAAGCTATGTAAGAGTTGGCTCTCACTATTTTTGTCTAATGACCTGAGATACGTTACTTCAGTTCTCTGATTTCAGTATCTGAGTCATATTTTTTTTAAATTTGAATCTGATAATTTTTGTAGTCAAGACAACTCATTTCATTTATTTTTTATTTATATAACCTATCAAATAATCCTAGAAGCTGGACTACATGAAGAAGAATGGGACATCAAGATTGGAGATAGATTGATTAACAACCTGTGTTATGCAGATGACACAACCTTGCTTGCTGAAAGTGAAGAGGACTTGAAGCACTTACTAAATGAAGACCAAAGACCACAGTCTTCAGTATAGATTTCACCTCAACACAAAGAAAACAAAAATCCTCACAAATGCACCAATAAGCAACATCATGATAAACGGAGAAAAGATTGAAGTTGTCAAGGATTTCATTTTACTTGCATTCACAGTCAACAGTCATGGAAGCAGCAGTCAAGAAATCAAAAGACGCATTGCATTGGGCAAATGTGCCGCAAAAGATCTCTTTTGAAAAGCGAAGATGTCACCTTGAAGACTAAATTGTGCCTGACCTAGGCCACGGTGTTTTTAGTTGCCTCATGTGCATGTGAAAGCTGGACGATGAATAAGGAAGACCAAAGAGGGATTGATGCCTTTGAATTGTGGTGTTGGAGAAGAATATTGAATATACCATGGATTGCCAAAAGAACAAAGAAAAATATCTTAGAAGTACAATCAGAATGCTCCTTAGAAGCAAAGATGGCAAGATTATGTCTTACATACTTTGGACATGTTGTCAGGAGGGATCAGTCCCTGGAGAAGGATATCATGCTTGGTAAATTAGAGGGCCAGTCAAAAAAGAGGAAGATCCTCAATGAGATGGATTGACACAATGGCTGCAACAATGGGCTTGAGCATAACAACAATCCTGAGGATGGCTGCGTTTCCTTCTATTGTACATAGGGTCTCTATGAATCGGAATCGACTCAACGGCACCTAACAACAACATCAAAAATTCAGACATGTTCAATAATAAACCATGCATTCCATTAATTAAAAAATATAGTATCAAAAAAAATTTCAAATAATGTTTTTAATTGGGTCATGAAAGAGCTAACGTGGAGCTTTACGGAAAATTCTGTCTCCTTTCTGTCAACTACATGCTTCTGTAAGGTGAGATTCATCTCCATTATCTCCTATTGTATTCTCTAAATCTCGGGGAAGGAGGGTCACTGACATTTACCAGGCAAGGCTTTAGTTGTTGTCACAAATATTGTCAGCTTTATTGCTCCTCACAATCAATCTTTCTCGGAAACTGAGACGCCGAGAGAGAAATTGAAAAACACTGAGATGTCTCTGATTCCAATTTCTGTTTTCCTCCTCTATCTCACTTCTTACGGCCTGTCTCTGTGTCAGACTCTGAACACAAATCAAAGATAAATTAAACTTGATTACATTTAAGGACGTCAAAGTCTGTCTACGCAAGAAAGAAAGAAAGCTTATATAAATGTGATTTAAAGTAGAATTGAAAATGGTTACAAAATAAATATGAAAAAAAAATAGACTCAAAATACACCTGGCCTTTCTGAAATGAATCAGTAATAACAATAACGTCTTTCACATTTTCTCTTAAGGAGATTAAACCTTTGTAACTTTTCAATTACCTTTGTAACTTTTCAATTTCTGAAATATTAAATTTTAAAGGCCCTTATCAGCAGGAAGGAAATATCAGATCCTCATGATGGGAAGAGTTTAAAAGTGTTATGATGCAGAGATATTTCAGGAAGAGTTTACAACACTTTCAAATATGTTTTATATACTTGTAATAATTCCAAGGACTACTTATGATAGTCAACTTACTAAGCATCCTCATTTCTGGTGTACTGCCATAGTGGGCAATGATGCAACCAGATTTGATGTAAATATCCACAAAATCTGGGACACATTTCATAAACAAAGTGTGTATCATCTATCAAATTGTATATAATCTATCGAATCCCACCCTGACTGGCAGGTGGAAGCTGAGTTTTGTGCAAAAGTTAAAAACAGCCCTATACGCAGCAAAACACACCTGCTGATCCAGCGTCTATGTGCGGTCAATATGAAGCAAGGATTCTTGCAGTGACTGGCACTCATGAAATCCTCGAAGATTCTTGCTGAAGGAATAGAGCAGTGGGGAGAAGGGAGAGCAGGGGGGCAGGGTGTGGGCACCAGCAAATCTCTCCTGCAGTTTTGTAAATGGGGTCATTTGCATCAAGGTGTGTTGAATGGTCGTTGTTCATTCTTCTTCTTCCTCATCCAATTGCCTGAGTTTAATACCAACAGCTTAGTGCATGTTTAAATTAGGAAATCATTAATAGTGGTGGTGGAGCAATACAGAACCTTTATTTGGAGCTCACTGCAGCTCAGGAATTGTTCTAGTGCTTTACCACCTAATATTTCCCTGGAGCCTATGAGAAACTTAATCTTATATTCCCTTTTTACAGATTAGAAAATTTAGGTTCTCTGCCCATCTGCACGTGATCACACAAG